AGGATTGCCCAAAAAAGAGTTTTTTTTTTTTCTGTTTTTTTTCCGGGGGGGTTGTTTTGTTTTCAACCCCCGCCCTTTTAAAGAAAAATTTTTGTGGGTCTTTAAAAACCCCTTTCGGGGTAGCCCGGGGGGTCCCCGGATTTAATTGGGGTTTAGGTTTCAAACGGGGTTTGTTTTTAAATACACGCCCCTACATTTTTTTTTTTGGGAGATTTTTCACTCCTTTTTTTTTTTAAAAAAAAATTTTTCCCCCCGAACCCCCCTTTGGGGGGGGCCCCCCCCCCCCCCCCGCAGGAGCGAATCGCGGCCATGGAGTCCGACGCGGCAGAGATGACGGGAGCGATCGCTGACGCCCTCCCAACACACGCCGATACTGCGGTTGCTCCCAACGGCGCCGGCACCGAGGAGCAGAAGGAGTACCGGGAGCCCGCAGCACCGCCCGCAGAAGCGGCTGATGCCGGGCCCCCTGCTGATGATGCCGTAGCTGACGCTGGCGCCGGTGGCGATGATGAATCTGGCGCGGTGGCGGCGGCGGGTAACGGGCACCAGAAAGAGCCGCAGCCGCAGCAGCAACAGCAGGAGGAAGAGGACGGGGGAGCAGACTTGACCGCAGCGGGCAAGAAGAAGAAGAAGAAGAGGAAGCCTTGATGGCGTCGTTAAAGGGCTGAAATATTTTGATGTTTTTTTTTTTTGCAAATGTGTCTTGAAGCGGGTGTGTTGTTGTGGTTTTTATTGTGTGGCGCGAGATTCGGGGCAGGGGCCTAAGGTGTTCTTGGCTAATGGCACACCCTGTGCATTGGCCTATGTCTCGTGCCTTCGTGGGAAGCCGTAGCTGGTGGCGGTGTTGGTGTTGCTCCCTGCCCTGCCTAGCGATTGTTGCTGCAGGGTTGGGGGACATGAGGAGGTGCGACAACTGACCACGGCGCCTATTTACGACCCTTTCGGGGGGGGGGGGTCGTGGTGTCGGACGGGGTCGTGGTGTCGGACGTATCGGTCTTTTTTGTTTTTGTACGTCCTGGGCGCTAGCCAGTCTACACGTTTCATGGGATATGTTCGACGATGCACCAGCGGGGGGTGACAAAGGAAGGAAGATACCGTACATGCCATGACGTAAGATAACAACCCCCCGCGGGCCGATTCCTCCTCGATTTATCCACAGCAGAAAAGTGTGGCGGCGCCGAAACGGCGGCGTTGAGAGCCGTCTCGTGAAGAGCTTCCCGAAAACGATAGGTTTCGTTGGTGCATCTTCTTGGTCGTGGAGTCAATCGAGCTTTGAAAGAAGGGCCAGGGAGTGCGTTATATCTCGTGTCCTAACTGCGGGTCATCTATCTACCAATCCGGTACCACTGCTTGGGTGTAGCAAAAAAAAAAAGTTCTCCTCGCGCACGGCGTTGTCTCTGCGTGTTTGTTGCACCGCGTTGTGGCTTGACGCCGTTCCAGCTACCTCAGCGGAGTAAGGTGTGGGTGTTTCGACGTTGCCGTTGTTGTTGAGTTTTTTTTTTTAAGTGATATGAGGACGGGACCACGTCTGTCAAGCGGGGAAACCGATGGGGTTTGGTGGGGGCTGTTGTGGCGGTTGCATTCATTCACGAGTGGGTCAGTGGGCCCTCAAACAACGAATCGACCGGCGCTATTCGGAGCGACCGGCGCTATCACAGTACAGCATGGCTTGGCGAATCTGTGTGTCAAGCAATGTCACCGGCGCTTTCGAGGGCCACGGGCGTTTTTCCACCGGCTTTGCTGAGGTCCCACTAGAGTGCCGTGGTATAGTTTTCGTTTTTTGGGTGGGGGATGAGGGATACGGCCTCTCTCCCCCTTGTGGCGAAAGCTATATTTTTTGCGCCTTTTTCGTCTAGCCGTGTGATGATGTTTGGGCGGTAGGATTATTGATTTGGTCTCTCTGTTTTTGTTGTGGGGACAACCAACCCTGCTTGGACTGCTGCACAGCAGCATGGTGCCCTAAGTTACTTTCAACCAAGTGCGAAAAAGGAGAAGAACTAGTTTTTATTGCCAAGACGCAGTCTTCGCCTGGCCCACTACAGCGAGCTGGATTTCCATATGCTGTAACGAGAAGCCTTGTTTTTCGACAGGAAATTTACTTTGGGTTTCGAATAGCTGAGGTATAACCGTCCAGAGCTACGTGTACCACAGGAGTATATTGGTTGAGGAATGGCTTGAAAATGATACCACCGGTAGATTTTTCTCGGGGGCTACACTGATAGGATACCTGTGAGAGGGGGGTCGTCTTCGTCACACGGGACCACGCAGATTGGAATGACGAATGGGATTCTATTTTCGGTAGGTAATAAAAGAATATTACAAACTCAAGTACAATGGTTGGGGTTTTCCATCGAATGGCAGAAATAATAATGAATGTTTTCTTTTTTTTTGTCGCCTTGCGTGTGGAGTCGCCGTAAACACAAATGTGTCAAGAATCACTGAAGGTACATCGTGTATGAAAGTATGCGGAGGGGGTAATCCTACTACCTGGACGGAACTAGTGTTTTCCCGCTCCGCTTTTCGGCCTGTGTGCGTTGCTTGGTTTAATCTCACCAGGCAATTGGCGGAGAGTGAGAGAGGGGACGGCGGGAGGCCGCCCCCATTACCATCTGTCTGGCCCCTCCCTCTGTTTGGATGTTTCTTTCGCGTTGTTGCAGTTTTTGTGGGAAAGGAGTGTGTGCAATGTAAGTTTTTTTTTTTTCCGTCGGTGTTGCTGGAGAAAAAAAGCGCATTAACTTAGTTAATTGGTGTTTTGTGTGTGATTTGTCTCATACATTCCGGGCACCAACCAACCAGTTCCTGACTTTGATAGGTTTGACGCGCGAGTCGGGGTCACACGGACGGAAGGTTATGACAACACCGGATGAAGTCTTGACACACTTTTTGTTGTAAAAACAAGCGAACTTCTACGGAGGAAGAGAAAATACGTACCGGTACGTTTATCCCGAGCTTGGTTTGCTACGGCCGGCGACGAGAGAAAAAAAGAGAACCGTCCGTTCGTTCGGGGGCACCGCGGATCGATCGGTGGTCCCCAGGGGGGGTACCACGGATTGCGTGCACCGTTTTTACTTGCTGTTCGACCTCGCGGGTTGGACCTGGGGCATGCGATGGCCAAGGGGGGCGAGATGAAAAACAAATAAATATCGTGGTGTGACCAAGAATAAGGAACGAGTTTTTTTAGTAGTTCACAGAAAGTACGCGGAGGAAGTAGCGGTATGGAGATGAGAGGCTGCTACTTTTTTTTTGCGACGCTGTAGGACGTATATGGCAGCAGCAATATCTAATTGAGGGGGTCCTTGAGTCGTTCGTTTGCGTCTTGCTGTCGGTGCGGGTTCGAACCCGTGCTATTTGTAGTCCGCGAACGAACTCTCTCGTTAAAAGGTTACACACACGTGATACAGTACAAGCACTATACTTATCCCCCACACTTACTTGAGACCGACGGATTGGACCTCAAGCAAGATCGAAATTACTGCGGCATCGACGGTCTGAGAACCAACAACCAACCAGTCAATCCCCCTTGTGTGCAAAAGAAAACAATGCGTGCGCGCAATAATGGGTAGTCTTTCTGTGTTTGTGTTTATGTTTGTTCCTAGTAATTCTTGGATCCTTACGAGGGCGGTCTTATCAAGAACAAATATTCGACATCGAGGGGGGGGCATGCGCACTAGCTTGTGTTGAAGTAACCAAAGAAATATAATCCCTTGTCGCTCCTACCCCTCATCCATCTTTCTTCTCTTCAATACAAAACAGCAGTGCTGAGTGGGGGGGGCGGTTGACTAGCACCGGTGGCCCTGTACAGCAGCGCCGGTGGCATCGCTGGGCACAGACAAAAACCCTAAGTCATTCTTGTACATTGAATAGCGCCGGTCGATGTGCTGGGCACACACCGGCGTTACTGAGGGCCCTCCAATTTTAGTACTTACTGCTGACTCGACGGCCTTGATTCGTCCCCCAGCCTATGCCTGGTTGATGTCCGTACAGACGGGCTGAAAACAGCCTTAGACAGGACGAGCAAACGTACGTGCAGCAACGAATGAATGGCAAACATTCCAACAGAAAATAAACCATGGGGAGATACAGATTTCGCTCGCTTTCAAAGAACTCAATAACTTGACGGTAAACTTCAAGATGAATTACACATATCTAGACACGACCTTGAGCACAATTTGCGAGCGAGCCCGGACACGACCCCCTACCCGCAAGCCTACCATATGAGAGCTGGGGTTTTAGCCTAGACGTAGGAACCGCCCAGCATCGGCAAACACTAGAGCCTGTGCCAACTGTGTCGCAAAAATAGGAAAATAGCAGAACCTGCTGTAGTTGCAAAAATGCGACGGTGATACATACACCACCGTCGCACCAGAGTGTATGCACGTGGCAATCGACAAAGAGCGATGAACAACCAACAATAATCGACAAAGACGGTCAAGACAAAAGAGAGAAAGACACAAAACGGCATCTATCTGTGCCTGCCATGATACCTCAGCAAAGAGCAGCACGAAAAACACGAATGCAAAGTAGACGTACTTGTTTTTTTTTATTATAATACACAAAGACGCCGACAAGAGCGTGCACAGCAGTACATCAATGCCATTCTCTATGATGCACACGCGGTAGCGAGAGACGACTAGAAATATGTAGGCACGATTGCGCGATTGAGCTGGACACTCATTCAGTGGCTTGTCAACCTCAACACTAGGGTTAGGGTCAGTACTTGGACACCACAAACGGCTGCCCCATGTGCAACGAAACTCCCACTAGACAAATAAAAACATAAATTACAAGTAACACGAGAAAGGGCAAGCTTCCTCCCAATTCCTTCACTCTAATTATACTGGCACATGCTTGCCTGTCAAGCCAATTCTCAAGCGCAACATGTCAACCCCGTGTTCTGGTGCATTTGAGCCATCTGCTGACCATTGATTTGTCATCGTAATTAAAAATCCTTGCAACACCTGGCCTGTACTCTTCGTGTGGAAGGCGCGAAAAAATTACTTTTTGCATTGCCGTCGCAAAACGCCAACAGTCTCGGAAAAATCTGGCGATTTCCCATGTAGTAGAAGAGATGGAGCGCTCTATAACGCTACGAAGCAAGAACTGGTATGTATCTATTTTCGCGGGCTTTAGCAGGCTCCAACAGCGATTTGAGACAAAAAAAAACATCGTTAAGATTTCAGATAAACTTGATTGACAAGACAGTGAGATGAAAGACATACTCCTAAGTAACAATTCCAACGATCCTGTAGACACGAAAAGCCCTTCTTTCAAGAACCGGGTGCTGGTGGCCTTTTATTTCACACGCGAACATTTGTTAACAAATCAAATTTTACAGAACATCAAGTTAACGAACCCACCACAACACAAACCAAACCCACTCTTTGGGCGAAAACGCACCACACTCCCAGCATCTATTGAACCAGTCCTGCCAACGCCTGAAATCTCGCAACCTCTCCAATGACCCTGCCTACCCTGCCGCCGCCGCCGCCGCCGCCTTCAATCCCCACAACCTCCCTCCTACCGCCGTCGCTCCCTGCCGGCCGCGATTTCTGCCGCTGTTGCACCTGCTGCGGTGCCGCCGGCCGTATTCTCCCGGCACCGGCACCGGCGATGGCAGAAGCACCCCCGCCGCCCTCACGAGCCCCACCGCCACCATCGCTGCCGCCAGCACCACCACAGCCGCCGCCGCTGCCGCCGCCGCCGCCGCCGCCGCCGGAGCGGGAAGAGAAGGCGTACTTCTCAGGATCGAGTCCGTACTTCTCGGCCATCCTGGCCCTAAGCCCCTCGTTCTCCTGCCTCTTCCGGGCGTTCCGGAGGCGTCTTGCAGCGGCGTCGGCCTCCTCCCTCCGGCGCCATCGCTCCTCCTCGACCTCGTCCTCCAGGCGGGGCGCGCGGAGCCGGCGGACCGCCTCCCCAAGAGCGGAAACCCAGCGGTCTCGCTCGGCCGCGCTGCGGGCCTCTAGTCTCAGCTGCTTGGTTGTTGTTTGGCGACGCGAACGGGGGGGGGGGGGGGGGGGGGGGGCTTCCCGTTTTTTTTTTTTGGGGCGGGGGGGAGCCAGAGAACCCCACACACAAAATTTTTTCGATATTTTTTTTTTTTTCACCAAAACACCCGGGGGTTTTTTCCCCCCCCCCCCCCCCCCCGGGGCCGGGTTCTGACCCGCCCCTCCCATCGAGAGCGGTTGGGCGGGCCCCCCCCCCCCCCCCAAAAAAATTCCCAAATTTTATCCCCAACCCCCATCCCCCCAAGAGGGGCGCCCCCCCCCCCCCGCGCCCCCCCCAAAAATTAAAAACCCCCCCCCTTTTTCCCGCGCGGGGGGAAAACCCCCGGGGTTTTTTTTTCCCCCCACCCCAAAAAAAAAAA